ACTATATATATATATATATATATATACGTATACATATAATAGTGAATATATGAATCTCATAATAGTGAAAGCTATACTATTATATTATAGTAGATTTTACATAATTTTTGGCATACAGCTCGCGCATAATTCTTTATCTTTATTTCATTTCTTTTTTCGATGTAGATGCTTAAAGAGAGAATTCCCAACCGAGATAGCGTTGGTCATGTGGGAAGCCTGCTGGGTCAATTATTTAACAGATCATTTCCACTTATTTCTTTGCCTCGCTATAATGTGCGTTTATGCGGACGACGTGATCGCCCAAGATCTCCGAACGGACGAAATGTTGCTGCATTTCAGTTCATTGGCCATGTACATGGATGGGAACATTATACTTAGAAAGGCACGAGGCTTGCTTCATAATTTCCGTCAACTCGTGCGATTACCTTGCACATTAGCCGGACTATGTCGACAATGTGGTCCAGGAATGTGGGACAGCGCGCATGATCCGGTAATAGAGTGTGTTGGTCACGAGGATACGCATTGTCCCTATTTAAATAATTACGAGTAACTGTCTAATTTATAAAAGAAGAAGAAGAAGAAGAGAGCTCATCAGTATTACTTGGCGTACAGATTAACTCGTTTCGTCGAATTATTAGATATATATTATTAAAGTCCTTGTCCTCTGCACGGATTTTTCTTTATAACAAACTTTGATTAGTAGTTAGTCTATAAAGAGAATCTCTTGTAAACATTAATATTTACAAAATATAACGAATCTAGCCATTATGCTCTCTCGATCTACACATACGCGTATAAATTCCGTTGTCGCACGCGACGATATGTGATATACATTCTTTTTTGTTCAAGCTATTCGAGTATTTTTTTTTTTAAGTAACCAAGAAAAAAAGAATAAGAATATATAGCCTATATTAATTACCACGTTATATGCAACACACGCATGTTGATATCTCGATTTCAATCAATGTCGAAACACAAAGACACATATCTCAAAATACAACAATTTCAAATCAAGTTGACCATCAGGTAAAAAATAAGTTTACAAGACTTTGACAACATTGTATATCAATAGATAAGTATGTGCAGTATTCGTAACATTCAAGACTGACGAATGAAAAGAAAGGATAACTAGTACAAACGAATTTCCAAATGTACGCAGCTTGGAGATATCCATCATCTAATCTCACTCAAATATCTCAATTTAATTTAATCTAATAAGAAGCTCGTTCGTTGGAAACCAAAAGGATAAATCAAATAGTCTACATACATGTACACGAAAGTGCTATTTATTGTAAATATGTACTCGAATTGTACAGGATATACCTAATAGCATATATGTTCACTCCAAAGTGTTCACTTGCGTTCGTATACATATGACACATTCTCGTACACGTATGTGTAATTTTATGTACGTATAAAAACAGCGCAATATTTTTTTTTTCCTTTCACAGCTTGAGATGCAACGCGAAAAATTTTCGCTTATTGAAAATTGATGAAATGTAATCTTTTGCTAAGCACACAGCCTATACATTACACCTATACCATTGTTACCTCTCGGAATTTATTCGAAAACAAATACAAAATTATTGTGATAAGCTAATTTCACCGAGTAATTCACTAATCTCTTTGAATAGAATACTAATCCGTCCTTTGTTTATTTCAATTATTATTATATATAGTAGTATCTGTTGTCACAGATATGCGTAAAAATAATAAAGTTGCTTTATAATAATCAAGATTTCACAGATACTGTGCTTAAATAACAAAGGCATTTCACGCTAATTCACTTGATCAGGGACATAAAATTTTATCAAAAATACCTTTTATCGCGCTTTTATCGTACTGTCTGGTATCGTTGAAATCTTAAAGAGAAATATATATCTGTTAAGGTCTGTTTCATGCAGATCTCTCAGTTTAAAGTAAATACAAGAACGTAAAAATGTGTATGTTTGCGCGCACGCGTGTGCTGGTGCGAATAAATCGAGATAGAGGAACTTGTACATACATTCAACTATTTATTATTATCCATTTCAATTGCTTTTTGCGCGCGCAAAATGCTTGTTTGTATGCGTGCACGGCACACATGCTCGTGCATATGCACATAGTTAAAATATTCTTTATTATATGCTACATTCGTATCCTGTGTATCTGTATACATAAACGGTCTGTTTTTTTATTACTGCACTTTCTAAACTAATACACACAGTGCAATAAGTTGAAGTGAAACAAATATACGTCTGTTTCACTTTAACTTATTGTATCGGAATGCAGCAATAAGAAACGGACCTACAGATGCACAGATGTGACGGACATACTGCAAATACCTTTTTGGCAGTTTCACATACGTATTTTGTACAAAAATACAATCTCAAAAAGAACATCATCGTAATATCATACTTTTGCTATTGCCTCTACTATCACATATATACTAATATTATTTTATTAAAAATACACAAACACGAACTATTTTAGCGTATAAAAAAATATATATACAATAACGGAAATTCATTAGAATATTGTAATAAAGAAAAATCATGCACCTCTGTCCCGGGACAGATAAGTAAAATATATGTTATAAACCTTTTTTTTTCTACAGATTTCTACATTTCTAAATATCTCCTACATTGAACCTGTTGAACCTATCCGATATTTGACTTGTATACACTGACTTGTGTGTATCAAAGTATTGTCGATTTACTGTATGTACGTATGTTACGTATCTTGCCATAAATAACGATTGCCTTATGAGTTTTCTCAAAAAAATTGACCAATCACAAATATGAGAAAAATAATCGACTGATTGGTCAATTTCTTACGACTGAAGCTTAGATAATGGCTTATTGTAAAAAGCTTATTACTTGTCGATCGTTCCGTTGAAGGATTTCATAGATCGTATTGTATCGTCGCTCTTATCTCACGTTTCATCACTTTAGTTACTTTAATTCGATCCAAGTGCTCGACATCAGTCGATACCAATATCGACTGACTGTCGATTCTGGATAATTCTATGACTACATTTATACGACATCCTTATAATCGGATTTAATAATATCTATCTATTATATTATATAATTGATATATAGTTACGACACTGGCCAATCCCAGTCATTCCATTCTTCAGAGAAATGGCTACAATTGGCCAATTTCGTAATAACGGATGTTATTAAATCTGATTAAGGGTGTCGTATAAACGAAGTCTATGATATCTACATTTTTTTGCTATGATAAATTTTGAAACGTATCAATGGATATCCATAATCAAATTTCTCGTAAACATCCTGCATTCGTCTCTATGATGGATCTTTTAGCACGAACATAAAGTTATTTTCTCTTTTGGTATAAATAATATTGATTTTGTTATTGACTGATTCAAGATTGCAAATGTATTTGCATGAAATTAACCGATACTAAAATCATACAAGTAATAGCCCATACTACGACGAAAATTAACCAACACCTGCCTGAGAAAGGACTTGCAAATTTGTTCATGACCCCAAGGCCGATAATCTTGTTAGTCTTTTGCCTCGCATAATAGACTAAAAATGTAGGTATTAAGTACTGTATTCCTGCTCCAGCGTACGAGCCTGTGATACCAACTAATATTGACAGATCTTTGGTAATAATTGCGATCAAGTACGGTGGTATTACCGCCAAGACGGGGAAGACGAGTTTCCGAAGACATAAATTGTAAGATGTATCCTCTTTTAAGAAGAGTGCCTGCAAATTATTTCGGAGTGTAATTGCTATAATGGGAAAACTGGTACTCAAAGTAAATACTGGGAAAAGGGCTAAAAAATACTCCATAAGGAGCATAAAAATATTGTCACTCTTGGAACAATTGCCTAAGCCACGTGGTCCAAAGTCCAAAGTATAAAGATCGTCCAAACGCTGAAAGGCGAAGATGCCAGTTAGAGCTAATAGTAAATAAAAAAGAGCGATTAGGGTGTAATCAAGAGCTAGGAATTGTCTTAGTTTAGACTTGTCCGCTATTGGTGTAACCAAGGCCGGTAACGAATGATGACACATGAAGGAGTAAACGCAAGCACCGAAAAGACTTGGAATTCCTAAAATGATAATTAACAGTATTGTTAATAACGTTAATACTTATTCACAGTTATTCTGTACCTCTAATGACACTAATCTGTTAGTAATTATATAAATTGACGATAATTATTAATCTTTCAGCTTACCGGCTAAATTTGCAATAGGTGGATCGCCACGAGGGCCGTGTACAAAAAGATTTTTTGTAGCGTATACGATCATTATAGTGAATGCGAGCCATCGCATTACCGAAGTTAGTAGTTGAAGATACTTGGTCTTTTGAACATTGAAAAATACAAAGGGACCCAATAATAATACAAACACGGTCTGAAAATAAATAAAAATCGCAACAATCATTATCGTACAGTTTTGCATTTATGGCGCTTGTAAACATTCATTTGTCTTTATTTAATATTTAATAGACAATAAGGACGAATTGATATGTTTAGAAAAAATGCAATTTTGCAAATCGATGACATACCAGAAATATTCTATACACATCCAGTCGAGTAAACGTAGGACCTTCCCAGCAAAGTTCAGTATCTGGTATAGTGTCATTGCAGGTAAGATTTTTTGGTAAATAAGTACAGGCGACATCTGCTAGTGACTTTGCGATTGCTGCACCATAAATGCTTAAATCTCCATATAGATATATAGCGAAACATAAATAAAATAGAGTAGTGCCAAATCTGTTAAAAAAAATAGATGCCATCTGTCCCATTTCTATTTTATCGCGAATTACATAATATCTACAAGTTGTATCCAAACAATCTGGACTGGTTGAAGGAGCAGCTACCAATGGAGTGTCCTCTGAATCTGAATTGGAAGGATCAGGTTCACTTATCGTCTGTAAAACCTGAAAAATATTTCAGTTTTCAATGTTACAACACGTATATGGGCAAATAACAAGATGATGCATATATGTATCGCTGCTAATATCAAATATGCCAATCTGTCTCTTGTCATAACGTTACCTTGCACATCTTTCTAAAATATCTGTAGTACACTCAGCTGTCCTGTATAGAAAGCTAAACAAGTTGGAAAACACTTACGCGTTTTCGATGTTGCGTATGCCTCCACATAACAATAGCATTGGCAGACGCCATTGCCTCTATGATAAATGTAACTGTGATAAAACTAGACGGAAGAAGAAAGTTAATGAGACGAAATAAATTTAGATTTATGATGTAAAACATTTTACATGTATACCTGATGAACGCCAACACTAGAATGATACTTAATCCAAGTGCCCATCCTGCTCGACTAAACACAGCGGGTAAAGTCAAAGCGCCTGTTCCAACGATGAGATTGAAGATGTACACGAGCCCAATCTACGATGGAGATCTCTTTAACCGTCAACTATTTAATCTAGTCTAATCTACTATTACCTATATTTATATTATATTGGTAGGTTTGAGGTTAGGGTTAATAAACGCGGTACGCCTACATGTCAATTATGAACAATATAAATAATAAGTATATGCGGAAAAAACAAATTAATTCCCTCTTTTCCTTACCCATGTTGGATACTGATCGTTAATATTCTCCTCGGGCATCTCTCTCTCTCTCTCCTCTCTCTCGAGTCGAACCAGCGTTAAATTCTCAAACCACGCAAGTATCCGAGAGAGAGGATGTCGCGTCGCGTCTCGTCTCGTCTCGTTTGATCTCGTCTCGTTCACTTGCCCTCTCGTCTTGCTCACATATTCATCTACTAGTCACTGATAAACGCCGATGATCACCGACCTGTCGTTGATTCGTACTTTTCCATTGATATGGTAACACAGCTGTACTTATCATAAAGACATTGACATGGTGCACTCACGTCTTTCATCTTGTTCAAAAGCAGCCACCTCAAATGTGTGTGTGTGTGTGTGTGAGATACGTACACTTATATGCCGCGAGAAGAAGAGAAGGGCAAAGGGATGGATGAAGGAGACGCATCATTTACAAACATTACTCCGAAATCAACCGGTCATATTTTCGCCCAAGTTCAAATGATCATCTGTTAATTAAACGATTACGAATTTCGATTTGTAATTAGGTAATTATACCAAAGTAAACACTTTCTCCAAAGACGAAGAAACAACCGTGTTCTGTATTGAATCCAGATGTAAAAGAAATTATCTCTTAAATTGAAATATTTGAATTTCGACTGCAATTATTTTATATATCTATTCTATTACGATTATATTACTACCACCCTTTTCTATCATTTTGTTTTATTCAATCAATGTTTCGCTTCATATATTCTATTTGTATAGCTTTAATTCATTAGATTTTTTGCCGCTTTTTCTAGAGACTCTAATATCAAAATTGCCTGTGGAGTGTCTCGAGTGTCCCTCGGAATTCTTTTACAATTATAAATTTTTCGACCAATTACTACTACTAAGAAAATCTTTCCTTAGCAAAAATATCGAAGTGCAAGTAACTTTCGAAAGAACTTTGCAGAGCTCCAAGTAGATAACAAAATTACAATCTTCCGAGCTCAGGGAAGAAAGAATAAAGTATGAAAATAAATCTCGTAAAAAGATCGGCGTGCACTAAACGAGAAAAGTTTACACGATTAGCGATCTATAATAGAAAAATTACTTTAGAAAAGATCGAAATGTGGAGGAGAGCGGAAGGTTGGGACGATTTAATGAAAAAACTATAAATCACAATTATTATTTTTCAGACTTTTATTTTATAATCCCATAAGTCTAAAGTAGTCTTTAAGATGTGTACGTGAATGGTCTTGCGCAATACAATGGGAATAAATTATAATACTTTGGCTAACTTACGGGGTCGAAACCGTCGTGCCTATCATTTTTCCGTTTATTTTAGCGAACGTTGGTAGAACCTTTCCGGATCAGCGGTTTACCCCATCGTGTAAAAAAAAAAAGGAAAAAGAAAGAAAAAAGAGGGGGGGAGGCCATATTTTCCCTCAACGATAGGCAAATTGTAATGGAAAACGGAATGAAAACAGGTAAGAAGTCTCAGAGGTTCGTCTCTGCGCGGAATGACGTACAATGTATGTTCAGTTTTGACGCAAGCATCTCTTAAAAATACCGTACATGATCGGAATGCATTGATCGACGTTGATTGCCATCATATCCGAACTCTGCCGTCTCTATCCACGAGAAGAGTATCATCAATCAACGGTTCTTCCCGCGACAGAAATTGTAGTTATCCGCGTGAACGTTTCTTGCTCGAATTCTCGAAGAAAACCGGCAATCGAGGTTTACGCGTACGATGTTTACGGGAGAGTCTAACAAAAAAAAGAAGCGTTTTTTTACTCTCGCATTGAGAGAAGAATGTCTCGGGAGGAATGTTTGGCTAAATGCTACCGTATAGAGACACAAGTTTTATTCAAATATATAATACAAAGGACTCGATACTATAAGGTAGAAAAAGGTATTCAGAAATCGGGGCACATGTTTAAGATCGTTATGTCGAATAGATGAAAAACGATGGAAAATGGCCACGTTTAAAACGAGCAAGAATGAGCCGTCGATTTATTTTGGATTACCGCCAAGACCGAGGAACAATCGCGGAAGGAGGGCGATATATCGTAAGCTCCTCTCTTTCTTTCTTTCTTTCTTTCATTCTCTCTCTCTCTCTCTCTCTGTCTCTCCTCTCGTTTAATCGGAGACGTTTACCTCAACGCGTATCTTAAACACGTACATCCGAATTGAAAGAAGCTACCTTTGCCCCGAAGGAACCAAAGGGCAATCGTCGCGGAAGTTGATGTTACGTCCGCCTGCTTTCATAGACAAAAGCCCCTCTCTCTCTCTCTCTCGCTCTCTCTCTCTCTCTCTCTCTCTCATTTCTCAAAGTCTCAGGGATCGGGGAATGATAGTAAATGTGATCGAGAACGCGTTTAGAAGCACTTCCTGTGGACGATGGAGGGTCCGGACTCGTCGTACTCCTGCTTCGAGATCCACATCTGTTGGAAGGTAGAAAGCGAGGCGAGAATCGATCCACCGATCCATACAGAATATTTCCTCTCGGGTGGGGCAATAATCTTAATCTTCATAGTAGACGGAGCTAAGGCAGTGATCTCCTTTTGCATTCTGTCGGCTATGCCAGGATACATGGTGGTACCGCCGGATAGAACAGTATTGGCATACAGATCCTTACGGATGTCGACGTCGCACTTCATGATCGAGTTGTACGTAGTCTCGTGAATGCCACAAGCTTCCATGCCTAGGAAGGAGGGTTGGAAGAGAGCCTCGGGGCAACGGAATCGTTCGTTACCTATAGTGATGACCTGACCATCGGGAAGCTCGTAACTCTTCTCCAAACTGGAGGAAGAGGCCGCTGTGGCCATTTCCTGTTCAAAGTCGAGCGCGACGTAGCAAAGTTTCTCCTTGATGTCGCGAACAATTTCTCGTTCGGCGGTAGTAGTGAAGGAATATCCTCTCTCCGTGAGAATCTTCATGAGATAGTCGGTCAAATCGCGGCCTGCTAAATCCAAACGGAGGATAGCGTGTGGCAGGGCGTATCCCTCGTAAATCGGTACGGTATGAGAAACACCATCGCCCGAATCCAGCACGATACCGGTGGTACGACCGGACGCGTAGAGCGATAGTACAGCTTGAATCGCCACGTACATGGCGGGGGTGTTGAACGTCTCGAACATAATTTGTGTCATCTTTTCGCGATTAGCCTTGGGATTCAAAGGTGCCTCGGTAAGGAGAACCGGATGTTCTTCCGGAGCTACTCGCAGTTCGTTATAGAATGTGTGATGCCAGATCTTCTCCATGTCGTCCCAGTTGGTAACGATGCCGTGTTCGATCGGATACTTGAGCGTCAAGATACCCCTCTTGGATTGAGCCTCGTCACCGACGTAAGAGTCCTTCTGTCCCATACCAACCATGACACCCTGGTGGCGTGGCCTGCCGACAATCGAGGGAAAGACGGCGCGGGGAGCATCATCCCCGGCGAAGCCAGCCTTGCACATACCGGAACCATTGTCGACTACGAGCGCGGCAACTTCCTCGTCGCACATGTTTGCTTTCTTGCTTTATCTGCAAAACAAATATTAATATTACAATTAGCCTACAACGCGAGAATATTTTCGCGCGCGTATACATTACAAGACATACGTACGTTAGTTATACGTACGTACGTATATAAATGGAACTCGTGGTTATAAACGAAATTAAAAGTAGTGAATAATTTAATTAAAAATTAAGTTAAAGTAGTTAA